AATATCCAGCGGTGGACAAATGCAAAAAAAAAAAAAAAAAAAAAAAAAAAAAAAAAAAAAAAAAAAAAAACTCTCATAACACAGTTCTTATTACTCTTTCGCACCGCGAAAATTCGGAAAATAGTAATTATGATTTTAATAGAATTTTAATATTGTGACAGATTAAATTGTTCATTAAAATTATTTATGAGCAATCGAGCGATGTGTGGATTTAGTTTCATTGATATGAAATTGCTTTGTCATCGATTTGAATTTTTGTATACGAGTATACGTGTATGCATGTACATATGTATATATGTGACCGACAGTTGGGCGGTTAAAAGTTATTTATTTATTATTTTTTTTAACAATGACAGATTTATTAAATTGAGAGAAGAGCAGAAAACTGTAGATATAAATATTACAGAAGCCCTTACTTTTGTACTCAGTGGCAAATTCTTTGAATAATATCATTCCTCTTACTTCCAAACTAACTTCTGGTAGGGGTTCAAGGGTACATATATACTCGTAAATTGTAAAAACAAAAATATTTATCTTAAAAAGTTTTCAATGAGTTTTATATATAAATCTAGACATTGATACAATATACGTACATAAATATGTGTGTCGGTTGCCATAAGATTTATATAAAATTTATTCAGAAGTTTTCCAATAATTCTTGCTGCTTCTAGCTTCTAGCAGCAGCAGGCTGGTATTTTATAGTCCATTTATGTAATTAAAGTATTTATTTTTGGAGCTGATCCAGCATAAAATTTAAATTTTCCAAACTCTATGCAAAGGTGTCTTCATTAAACTGTTGAAAATTCCATTTTTCCATATTTGAGCGTACCAGGGTATTTTCGGTTAGCTGAGTGGTGCAGCGGTGCAGCGTATGAGGGCATCAAACTGCCATCAAAAAAAAAAACTTGACTTCGATGTTGCAGATAATTCTTTCTATCCAGCATTAAAACCTCCAAAAGAAAGTCAGCTTGGAAATCCAACGCAGAATCACACATTACCAGCAGTTGCTACGGCATTGACATAGTTCAGCGAATTGAGGAACAGCGGCTGGATCACGTTGTTCGGTTGAATGAAAATACTCCAGCTCTGTAAGTATTCGGTGCACTACGTGCTGGTAAATGTAGATAAAGAGCAAGACCTCTACTCCAACAGAAGAATAAGCTGGCTTCATTTGATGTCTCGCCGAATAGCTGCAGGAAGAGATGAATTACCATAATTTCGTAAGCGCAGCCCATGCCAAGGACGAAGCAGAATATTGCTGGAGTGCTTTAAAACAGAATCTTCATATCAACGATTTCAAAAAATTGCGCTAACGAGAAAATAAAATAAATGTTAACTGTTATTTACGCAAAAAGACAAATTACGCTGAAAGAAAGTTGAGTTTTAAAAATTTTACTTCCAGCAAAGCTAAGTCTGAAAATATAATTCTGAAATTTACTATTTAAAGGTGTTTGTTATTATTTTATAAATAAAAAAAAATTCAAAATTTATTTAATTTATGTTCAAGGAAAATATTTAGTTTACATATTTAATAACAAACTGTAAAATTGAAAACCAGAACGATTTTAACCAAAAATGTTCATCAAATGAAAAGTTTTAATTTCGTTCTGTAAATATTAAATAAAATTTAACAATATGATCTTGTTTCATTTCGGCACCATGTTATCGTAACGAAATTAAATTATTAATGCTGAAAACGTTCAAACTCAGCGTTAGGTTAATTTTAAATAGGCTATTAGTTATGGTATTACCAGCACACGTGAATTTAAATGACGGACATTAGCTGGTAACGATTTAACGGTATCTGTTATCGATTTAACATTGTCTATTAACGATTTAACATTATCCGTTAGCGATTTTACATTAACGAAAGCATAAAACATTGTCTGTTGACGATTTAACATTGTCTATTAACGATTTCACATTGCCTATTAACGATTTAACATTATATGTTAACCATTTAACATTAGCTGTTAGCGAGTTTAATTTAACAACAACATTTAAAATTATCTGTTAACAATTTAACATTATCTGTTAACTATTTAGTATTATTTGTTAACGATTAAACATTGTCTGTTAACGATTTAAAATTATCTGTTAACAATTTAACATTATCTGTTAACTATTTAGTATTATGTGTTAACGATTAAACATTGTCTGTTAACGATTTAACTTGTATGTTAATGATTTCACATTATCTATCAACGATTTAACATTATCTGTTAGCGAGTTAACATTATATGTTAACGATATAACATCGTCTGTTAAAGATTTAGCATTATATGTTAACGATTTACCATTATAAGTTAAAAAATTAGCTTTATCTGTTAACTATTTAGTATTATCTGTTAACGATTAAACATTATCCGTTAGCGATTTTACATTATCGATGGCATATAACATTGTCTGTTGACGATTTAACATTGTCTATTAACGATTTAACATTATATGTTAACCATTTAACGTTAGCTGTTAGCGATTCTACATTAACGACAGCATTTATAATTATCTGTTAACGATTTAACATTATCTGTTAACGATTTAGCAATATCGACAGCATTTTGCTTCGGGTTAAAACGAAATAAAATATATCTTGGCATCTGCGTTAACGATAACATTTCCAAATGTTTCAGAATTGGTTGAAATTATATATAATAAACATACATACATATGCACTGCAATACCATAGACATCATTACCTATATTCGATAGCTCAGAACTTTGACGCGCTGTAAAGAAAAATATACAACTAAAAAATCATTTGTTATTAAACTGAACATTTAGAATTTATATTTAGAGGGGTCATTTTTACGATGCACTGTGTGTATGCCCATTATCCCACCTTCTCAACCTCCTCTTGCGCCTGCTCAAACTAAAAAAAAACTCTTGATTATGCTGAAATATAAAAATTACTATTTGACAGTTTAATTGGCTGAAAATGGAAAATCGTTATTATTATTATTGCTGAAATGGAAACGGTTTAAGTGTAAGCGGAGTAAGATTTTAATTGAGCTGAAAAAAAAAGAATTTTTTTTTTTGTTAGAGCCAGAGTCCAGGTAGAAATCAGGTCATTCCAATATAAATTGCTGCAAGTGTTAATGCCGCGATGTCGTCGCTCTGCTGCCAATAGAAACCAATCGAAACCAACCAAACCACGCCAATACCAACAACAACACTGCAAATAGACTTAAATACTCCGCCGAGGGCAGGTAAGGAATGAAATTCAATACACAAAATATACACTAAATTACATAGATATATAATATCTAAATACAAATACACATATCTATGTACATACCAAGCTGTGTATGTACAGTTGAAGAGAAAAAAAATTAAAATAAGGAAAAAATGTAACAAAATCCTACAAAGAATTGGCTGAAAATGGCCAACACTTACCAAAGCTGCTACTGCTGCTGCTACCGCCGTCACCACCATTGACAAGCAAATGTGTCGTTGTTAGACAACACCAACTATGCACAGCTATAGGTAGCTTTGAGCTACAGACATACATACATACATACATACATCTACATGCATACCGCACGACACTTCTCTCACATTGTAGTGAGTGAGAAGTGAATGAGTGGGCGAGTGGCCAAGTGGATGGGTAGGTGAGTGCATGTGGGCTTACAATACACTCATACATAGCCGTTGGGGAATTGAGCAATGAGCTTCTTTGACTGTTCACACACACACACATATGTACATTGACAGTAGAAATATTTATGGCCATGTTGATGGCGCTGCTGGTGGTGTTATTGGTGGAGAAGTGCGCTGCAAGGATGTGGGGGAGAAAGTAAAATATAAAAATGTGTGGCGGCGCTTTCACTGTTGGAAGAAACATCCTGGGGGCCATAAAGTATGTAAGCATAGTCTAGCACAGTGTTTCAGGGTATGCGTACAAGAATATTAAAATACAAATGTGTACCAAAAATAAAATCAGAGTAGGGAGTTCTTAACTGGGACTGTGCCTAACAAAGGTGTATGCAAACCTTTATGGAAGAATAATGAAAACTAGGTAAAAGAAGTAAGTACATCAATCTTTTTTAAAAAGGGATCGGGAATCTAATGCAAGTCATAATAAATCCATTCAATCCAAAAGATCAACGGGAACACTACAAATTGGAAGACATACTAATTATATTTTCAAAACTCCAGTAAACTGATTTACAAGTGACTCTAAGCTGAGTTTATCTGGTGTCTATACGACGTGCTACATATAATAGTCGAAAGAATCGTAAACGCAAGCCACCTAGGTTGCTCTCTGTTAAGATCAGAACAAGCTGAGAAGCTTCTTTCTAAATATATACACTAAGTTGGGTCTACGGAGTACATAGAAGAAGATCCTAGAGGCTACAAACAGATATCAAGATTTAACAAAACCAATAGACTCTACAGAGGCACGATGTTTCCTTATTCGCCAAGAGCTGTCAACATATTCACTTTGATAGCTTGTATAAGACAAACCATCAGCCGCTAAAAAATATACTACACAGACGACTTTATTTCCGATTAATTAGGAACTGTTTACATATGAATACAAAGCTGCTCCGAGAGCCACTTTATAATTCCACCAGAACGAAGAAAGTGTCTTCTTTCCTAAAATCCGAAAGGACATCTCTCAATATCAGGGCACTTAACTTCCTTCATTGCAGCTTTTAGGAGTAGCTAAATTAGCAAGTCCATCATTGGCGTAGAGAGGTCCCGCTATGGGGTTGGGAACCCATCCTAAACTCCCACCAGGCTAACATAGCAACTGGGGTCTGCTGAGACTGCGCTCAGACCAAGTTTCTACACACTTTTTGTAATGTAATACAGGGCAGTGGTCTAGTCAAAGTGAGCTTTTCTCGAGTTTATGGAAAGGGAAACCGGTTTTTTCACACCTAAAGTTTGGCTATAATCGCGTAAGCGGAGTACATGCCAGTAAAGAAGAAGAAGAAAGTTACGTCTCTAAAGAAGAAGAAGAAGAAGAAAGTTGTGCCAGTAAAAGAAAGAAGAAAAGTACGCGGTTAAAGAAGAAGAAGAAAGTTACGTCGTTAAAGAAAAAGAACAAGAAAGTTACGCCGGAAAAATCCTACGAAAAATACCGACTCGTCAACAGTGTTTGGAGATCGGCATTCATACACACCTTTAACTTTATGATCTCCAAAGTTAAAACTTAACTGGTTGAAGATGACTGGGCACAACATATGCATTTAGCAGGGAATGCCAACCCTACGGAGCGTGTCTCATGACATAAAATAAAGGCTCCTTATAAAAATCCATCAGCCGTTTGGCGACGAATAAATATAAAGCATAGATCCCTTCATTTGTTATGAAAACATTCAAAAATTGGAGGAGAAAGAACTCGGCCGTAAAAATATTCACTCGCACTTGTGTTTTTTGGATCGAAATGGTTCAAAAAGAGGTCACATGAAAAGTTCTTTTTTTTTTTTTTAAGGAAAGACATTTCCGAAAGCAAAGTTATCCATTTTACAATTTACAGCAAGGCTGGGGGTTCCTTTGAAGCCATGAGGTGGGTGAGTAGTAGGAAACGGTTCACATTTACGAAGAACATATTTTGTGCTGGGAATAGTTTGGCTTGCATATTTCGCGGCTAATTTATTTGAAAATCTTTCCAAGGTGACAGATAACAAGATCTAATTAAATTTATAGAGGAATCAAAGAGGATGGATCATCGATATTTTTAATAAGGGCAGTATCGTGATCCCCTATTATTCTTAGATCTAGCTTATGGGTAATGATATGCCGATTCTGCGACCTACCGACTTTGATTTGTAGTTTTGGGTATCTTCCAGTAATGCTGACTGACTGGGAGGAACTGTTCAGGCTTAGCTTTAAAATTCCCTCCTCATTTTACTCAAATACTTATTTATCTAAAGACCCAACTCTGATCACTACAAATGGTTTAGAAACATTATCAAAGTAAGAAATAAATTGTGAGCTCTTTAACTAACCGCCCACTGACGTAAACGGCTTGCCACTGTTGAGTTTTTCGACCCAAAATGCGATTTTTTCTACCCACAATCAGCGAAATGCCTAAACGAATTACAACGCAATCGGAGCAGGGTAACTATTTTTGGCCGCCGCTTATATGGATTCACGACACTATGGCACGGCGACAAACCGTCCTGCGGTGCGGGGAAAAATAATCAACCAGTACACCATTACACCAATATCTCACCATCCCACCACCACCACCACCACTTGGAGCGCTCTTGTGCCGGCCAACTGCAAATTTTGCGGCATAGGAGTGCAAATGGATTTGAAAATTGGGTTAATTGATGCTTAGAGGCACTATATGTATGACTGACTGAAACCGGGTTGTTGTTGTTGTTGCTGGTTGCTCTTGGTAGTGGTACTGCTGATGGTGATATGACGGACGGTCTTGTTGCTGGTGTACTAATGCAATAGCTTGAAGTGACGCCGAGAAGTCGGTTGTGGGTGCTGCTTGTTGGTGTTGTTGGTAAATAGGAAATGGAATAAAATACCTGGAGTATGACAACCGTTGTAAAAAAAAGCAGGTGTAAAATAACAAAAGCACAAAGAAAGAAAAAAACATTTCAATACGAAGAGTAGAAACGCAGCAGAGGAGTGAAGAAAAAAAATAGAAAATTAAAATGGAAATGAAAGTGTAAATGGAAATACCGAATGTCAGCGTAGCGGAGGAAAAAAGTTGAACAGAAATATGTATTTAGATGCAGGTAGGTACATATTTCTCTGTGAAGGACATGGCAAACAGTGCGACAATAATTGCCAGTGGCGCACAAGTGAATTGGCTCAGCGAACTTTGCCAGCGCGCGCTGAGGCAGCTAAGATTTACTGTGAGTTTCACATAAACGCCATTTAGAATTGATCCAATGATTTCTTAGTTTACAAGTTTACATTTCAGTCAGTAGAAAGCACTAAAATCAGATTATTATAACGTATGTATGTATATCCGAAAAGCTCTTTTTGAGACACATAGCAGGGAAAAGGCCTTTTGGTATGCCATATTAATGAGAAAAAAAAAAATAAGCAAAACCATGAACAGAGGAAAATTCCTTACGACATTTCGTAAAGTAATTTTAAATTGGGTTAGGAACAAGTCATCCATTATTATAGCAATGCATGGCTTTAGAGATCTGTATCTTGCATGCTACGTCGTCAACTGTGAAGAGATTAAATGAAAAATTCCGCGTGACTGCAATCATTGGAGAGGCCAAAACACACTGGTCGTCCTAAAACACGACAGGAACTGCAATTCGGCGTCGTGGAAAAGAATTAAACATTTTCCGGTCGTATAATCACTCCTTTCGGTCATCACAATTGACCCCCTAGACGTGAGGTTTAGCACCATTAGATTTCTATTTATGCGGTCATTTATAATCACGGGTCTATTGCAACAAGTCCACAATCACGCATGCTTTAAAGAAGGAGATTCATCGTGTTGCATCAATAAAATTCTGCCATATTTATGCAGAATATTTATGAAAAATTTCGACAAACGAGTGCTTATATGCATGGAAAGCCAGCCGTGAAGGTCATTTACCCGAAATGTTATTCCAAAAATCACATCCTATCCTATGTACTTTATGATTCTAGAAGAAATCACTTTGAAAATTTTGTTTTCTTAGAAAATTCATCCTAATTTAATTGCTTTAATTTTAAGGCAGCCTTTATAAGTGCGATTGGCTCCAGAAAGCTGATATTTTGTACTAAAAAAGATAAGGGGTTTGTCAAGAAGATAAGCTGCTCCCCTACTTCCTCAGAATACCAGAGAAACGATGAACACTGATAAAAATATCCAGCAATACCTTCATAGCATTAGAGACTACACGCTCAATTGAGGCGTGTCCTTCGGACCTGTATTGTCAGCAGACCACACACATCGATCGATGTTGACTCGCCAGATGCGCCTTTGGCTTAGTCAGTATGATCTTATGCATATACCTCATAAAGCGAAACTCGCACCAAGTGGTTACCATCTGCTCCTGTTTAAAGCGAATTCAAGAGACGGCCTGTGGGGCAAGGGTGTTTATAAGCGAGGCATAAATGGAATTCCAAATGGGAGAAGGATAATCTTACTAATTTTCAAAGGCTAATTTTTCCATTTGCGGTCGCCACTCGACAGGGTGCGACAAGTCTTCTGAGTGTTTTTCTGACATGAAATAAGAAGCTTCTCATAAAAAGCCATCGGCCTTTCGGAAGCGGCCACAGTTTACAGCTTATTGTAGATTTTGAAATATTTATTATATATAGACTGCTATTAATTTACTGAATTCAGTTTTGGAAAACAAAATCTATGCTTGAGTGTACCAAAAATTAATCAAAAGGGGGTGAGGTCTCCAATGCTATGAAACCTCTGGGTATTTTGATGATAAAACTTCTTCTCGGAATATTATAAGGCGGTTGCTTGCATTAAGTAAATCATCCAGGACCAATAGGACTAATCTGTATTGGTGGAGCGTTTAAATCCACACCAAAAGAGGCGCTCAAGGTTATGTTTGTTACTTTTGTACTTGACTTGGTGGAGTATCTGGAGCGCAGCACTGGTTTAAAAGATAAAAACTACTTCAGGAACCAGCGATTGCAATACGCTAAGAACATCTTCAGATTTTACATCTACAACACAGATCCCTGCTTTCTAACGACTGCTACTGGCGCCAAGGTAAAAGGATAAAATAATTTCGAGTAAGCGTGGAGTGGATTAGACACGCCAGCTAGTAGACTACTAAAGCTAAACAGACAGTAAAAGATTTGAAGAAAGAGTAAGCGGAGGACCTTTTGTGACTCATGTAGAGATCACTGCCATCATAAAGACAGCTAAACCTATTGGTAGCAGTTTTTCAGTGACACTCATGTAGAACTAAGATTTTAAGGCCCAATAACGATGCACACTACATATAATTTTGCTGGACTACTGCAGTTCCCTTACGACGTTGGCTAAGCCGGACCGACAATTTAAATCTGAGAGAGTTCTTAACACAGATACATCGTAAGACTATAAGGCTTATACACGTGTTTGCCAAGGAAGGGGTAAGCAGTTTCTTCTATATAAAGAACACATTGGTACAACTATGAAGCAAACTGTGTTGTGGTGATATTAAAACTTGATTTGTCTCAAATCAGAGCAAACGTGATCCAGATATGGCTGGAGGGGTTTTACAGCATATATTCAATGAATGTAGTGGACGTCAGTGAAATTATAGAAGTCTGGAACCCTACAATATTCCTAAAGTCCAGGAGTTCAATTCAGCATGCGGAAGAACGATGAGGAGGAAAAGACAGTTTCTTATTTACTATGTGATTCTCCTACACTGAGTGGAAAAATTGCTTCGTAGTCTCGGTACCATTACCTGAAGCGTCTTAGGCATGTTCCAGTTGTTATAGTAATCATTCTATTGAGGCTTTTCATGGGCTACAGGTGGATCAATGGCGGGTTAGGGTTGAAAGATCAAAATTTGTCGTGACAGGGCAATCCTTGAGCTTTTAAGGGTTAAATAAAAGTTGAAAGCGTTTTAAAAGCGGAGTCTAAGAACTCTAGCTGATCTGGACAGATTTCATTCTTAGTTTAAATTGCAACACTTTTTCAAGAATTACAGTTTTTCGAGCTCTTAATAGCTCTTTCTATTATCGTGCCATGAACATCTCTTTCGGGCCGATTAAAAATGTTACAAAAAATACAAACAGCAACAGTAGCAACTTGAGACGATAAATGTACTAAGGATTATATAAACAAATATAAAAAAATAAAAAATATACTAATACTAAATAATATTGACTACTCACCGGGACTACCCAAATCCGTGATGTTGGCATTAGCAGTTTCGACCCCAACGGCAAGGCAGCGTACAGCGGGTGTCAGCCGCAGCAGCAGCAGTAAACAAAGCGGTAAACTGAGCGCGCGACAAATGCCGAAAACGGTGGCTAACACGGTGGAGAGATGCGCCGGCGATGAAGCCGCCACCAAATTGCAGTACGCAGTTGAGCGTCGTCGACGTTGCGTGCTACCATTGTGTGTTGCAGACGACGCGCTCTCACTGAACGCTTTTGTTGTTTCTTCTACTGTCGCTGTTGCTGTTGTAGGTGTGAACGCGGGCAAATATGGCTTACCAATATTACTGCTGTTGTCGTTGCAACAGCTGATGGCGTCGTCCAATAGTTTCGCTCTGCGATATTTCTTACAACCGCTGCTGCTGCGTTGCTTCGACGACGTCAATGTCGTCGCAGCTGTGCGGCGGCAACTGCAGTTGCTAATTGTGTTGCATGAGCAGTCGAGTTTGAAGCTTACGTTACCCACGCTGTGCGTGTTGTGCGCGTTGCAATGGGGTGTGTTGTTGTTGTTGTTGCTGCTGCTGCTGTTGTAGAACATCATTTTCCATTGGATTTATGTTGCTCAAGCGTGAAGACAACAACAAGTGGGTTAATGTGTTGTTGTTGCTGCACTTACAACAATTGTTTTTGCTGTGGTTTGTATTAGATATACGCTTGTGTGGCTGTTTAAGTGGTCGCTGTTGTTGTTGTATTGTTGTATAAACTTTTGATAGCATGTCATCGTTTGATGCGCGATTCTTTCGAGTTTTTTCTTATTAATTTATTTACTTTTTTTTATAAATTATTTGAACAGCTCGCTTTTCGCTTTTTTATTGCATTTCATGCGTCGCGTTTTAGGTTGCGCGCAGAAGAAACGAAACGTCTCTACGCGCTCTGCTCGCGCCGCGTTGCGCAGCGATTGGTTTTACCGAGGCCAATGCTGTATAATGTTTGTATTAATTGTCTGCGGGTTAGCGACGTAGTTGGGCGTGGCAATGGTATTTTTGTGTACCGACCGGCTGGGCGCTTTTTACGCGGCTAAGCGCTTGGCTTGAAGTCAACGCTTTTCGTTATTTACGCACGACATTTGATTGAACACTTTTCAGGAGTAATGAATAATCCAATTGCGCGGGCGCACAACACTTTAATTTATGTATATGCGTAAGTATGTTTGTATGTTTGTGCGCACTCGCAATCCCCTACACACGCGTGTAAAACTCTACAACTGTCAATTTTCCGCTGAGTCAGTTGTTGTTTGTATGTAGCTTTCACTCACATTTCACAATTGTCTTTTGACAGTTTTTATAGAAATTTATTACTTGTTTACAAACTGACTGAGCGTTGCTGGGTGTGCTGAGAGTGTCCCTCTACGCCTGCACTGCTTTCGAACTGTGATGTCAAGCCCAACGTTTGCAGTGCTGCGGTTGGTTCCGCTGTTTGACTGACAGTCTCTCGTGCTGTGTCTGTGCGTTGGCAGCGTGTAGTCTAGTCTACACTAAAAGCCCATTTCACAGTCAGGAACGCGATGCAACATTTCTATTGACCGACTGACTGGTTGAGTGACACACTGAGTGACTGACTGACAGACTCTCTGACGATGTGATTATGCACTGAAATTCTGCTGTTTTGCAATCAGCCGCACATATTGTCTGCTCTCCTGTGGTGCTATCTGCCTTGAGTTCGCCAAATGTGAAACAAATCGTCAATAATACGAACGTATTCGTAGGGGAGAAGGAGGAAAACTTTTACTCAGCACAATTAGTACGATACCTTTTTTATCCTTTTTTTATATTTATTTTTACTATTTTTAATTTTTTATCAATTTTTATTTATTTATATTTATTATTATTATTTTTTTTATATTTTTATTAGTATTTTTTTAATTTTTTAAATTTTTATTTATTTATATTTATTATTATTATTTTTTTATATTTTATTTCTTTACATTTATTATTATTATATTTTTATTATTTTATATTTGTTATTATTATTTTTTTATACTTTTGTTTTTTTTAATTTTGATTTATTTATATTTATTATTTTTAATAATTTATTTCTTTGTGTTTATTATTATTTATTTTTTATTTTATTTTACTATTATTATATATTTTTTTATTTTTTTATTTATATTTCTTATTATTATTTTTTTATTTTTTTTTTTATTTATTTTTTTTATTATTATTTTTTTATTTTTTTATTGTTATTACTTTTTTTATTTTTTATTATTATTATTTTTTATTTTTTATTTATTTATGTTTATTGTTTGTTATTGTTTTTTTTTAAATATTTTTACAATTTTTTCAGCTTTTCTAATATTTTATTTTTATATATATTGCCATTACCTTTTTAATCTCATTTTTTTATAGTGATTTTTTTTTAATATAATTTTTTTTATTTCATTAATATATATTATATTAATACATATTTTTGAAATATTTTTTTAATCTTTTTTAATTAAATTTTCAGTTCTAAATTTTGATCATTTTTTTGATGTTTATTTAGTTTTTCCATTCAACACTTTAGTATACTTGTATCGATGCTATTTTTCATGCGTTTCCATTGAATTCTTTTATTTGATTTTTTTTTTCAATTTAATTTTATTAAATATATACAATTTTTTTTTTCCTTTTTATACACTGTTTCACTTACATATGTAGATATTATTTTCACTGGATTACACTATTTGATATTTATTTTTTTATTTATTTTTTGTTTCTACTTTTTGACTGTTTACTGTGTTGTCTCTCTGGCCGCATTCGCTCGGCTCAATTGCACTTCTCCTCTGCTTTATGCACTGAAAATATACTTAACATTTGTAGACTTTCGTCTGTTTGCACATTTACATAAATACAAACATACATATAACATATAAACAAATATGCTTTGCAATGTCTGTTTGTATGTATGTATGTATGTATGTAGAGCAGTTTGCCTAGAACTTCTCCACGTTGCAGTTGTGTACCTTTGGTTTGGTTTGTTTATGGTTACTGCATTTCAAGAAAATATTACGTACACACCCACATATGTATGCATATAAAAAGCATACAAAAAAAGAAAATAAAATAAAATAACTAAAAAAAAAATTACACAAATAAATATAAAATTGTTCACTTCAACAAATTTGTTTCCATATACTACATGCTATATACATATGTATATACATACACATATATATATGAAATGTATACATATTGTATGTATGGATGTATGTACTGGACGCTTGCCGTATCGATTCGATTTGTTTGCCTGCCTCACATTGCAGTCTATCTGTCCGTCTGTGGGTCTGTCTGACTGTCTGCTCTTGCCTCTGCTGCCACTTGTTTATGTTATTTATATGCACTATTTGTTTTTGTTGTTTATTTTATTGCTGCTGCTATCGCTGTGATAAAAATTTCTTACGAAATTTATTCACGCTGATAAAACGACACTCGCGCTTGTCCCTAGTATGTATGTGTATAGTATATACATACATACATATGTATACATGTGTATGCGTATGACCGCGTTGTGCGTTGTCGACTTCCAGCGTGCATATCTGCATGTGGCAAGCCGCTTTCGATGAAAGTGTTGCATGCAGTAAAAACAAGCGCACACACACACACACACACACGTACACACATTAACCTTGCCACTCCTTTCTTCTTCTTCTACTTCTACTCTTTTAGTGAGTTGCACGTCGGTTTACCACTCCGGGGACACAGCTACAGGCCAAGCGTAAAATGGCAAATAAAGTGTGTTGTTGCCGTTACTGTTGTTGTTGTTGTTGTTGCTGCTGCCGCTGTTGTTGTTGTTGCAACATTCTGAAGTCGTTGTTTGTTATTGCGTATGCTATGCAGCTGTGTTGGAAGGTTTTTTATACATACATATATACCTACTTATATGTATGTAAGTGCAGTTATTGTTTTTGCTGCTGTTTCTTGCTTCTCGCCGTGTTGTCATAGCTGTAAAGTAAGAAGAAGAAAAAGAAAAAAGTGAGAAAAAATTATTAATGATTTATATGCGTTGGCATTGATATATGCCAATGCTATTTGTTGGCTCATAAACAAATATACATACATACATGTACGTACATATGTATATGTTGATGCATTCACTCATACACGCACTTATCTCTCAACACGCCGGATCCACAAAGGTGAGCAGCTGCAAACAGACATCCCTTCAAACCTGCATTTATTATATATACATATAATAAAGGGTGATTTTTTAAGAGCTATAGAAAAGTTTTCCAAAAAAAAAAAAAAAAAAAAAAAAAAAATGAAAAAAAACAAAAAAAAACAACAAATTTTTATTAAAATCAATAGTAGGGTCCATATACATATATACTTTTATGTTTAAAGATTATTTCATGCCAATATTGACCGTGACTGCGCCCCAAATGGTCCATCCGCTTAGTCCTGTTTTGGCATACACTTTCCAACATTACGGTCGGTATCTCACGAGTAAATACTTCAATGTTGTCCTCCAGTGCGTCAATTGAAGCGGTCTTGTCTGTATAGAAATTAGATTTAAAATAGCCCCACAAAAAATAGTCTAAAGGCGTTAAATCGCACGATCTAGGTGGCCAATTGATCGGTCCCGAACATGAAATAAAATGTTCACCGAACTCGCCTCTCAATAAGTCCACTGTTACGCTTGCTGTGGCATATGGCACCGTCTGGTTGAATCCACATGTCATGCAAGTCGAGCTCTCGCATTTTGCGCAAAAGAAAAGTTCGGTATCACATCACGGTAGCGCTCCCCGTTCACATTAACGTTACGATTCGCATCATCTTTGAAGAAGTACGATCCAATGATGCCACCAGCTCATAAACCACGCCAAACAGTTACTTTTACTGGATGCATCGGTAGCTCTTGCAATGCTTCTGGCTGATCTTCGCTCCAAAATCGACAATTCTGCTTATTTACGCACTCATTAAGCCAAAAATGAGCTTCGCCGTTGACCAAAATTTTGGCTCTCAACTCTTCTTTCTTCTTGAGTGACTATATATAATTGGCGCCTTGTAAGTGCTGAAGCGATTTTCGGCCGATGGAGGGACCTACATTTTATTAATTATACTTTGGAACCGTAGAACAGAAGTTTGTGTCTGTCCATTTCTTTGTCTGGGCGCGTAAAAAATTGGTCACCTACACAAGTGAATTCAAGTAAATGTTTTCACCAATTATCACTCATTTGTTCATATATTGAAGCCATACTGTCCGGGAAAGGAACACGCTACACAGATATCCTGGCTGCCAATCCAAGGCTGTATGGAAGCCGAATTGGTAGTAACACCGGTTACAAGGTCTGACCGGAAACTTTGAAGCCGGTACCACGGGAACAGGAGCCATCGGAACTTGCTCCGACCTGCAAAGCCCTTCGGGTAGTTTCGCGGTGACTGTGGTTTAAACCCAAATGCGTGAAGAGTTGGAGTGTAGTGTACGCGGCCAACTCGGTGTGGAGTTGCATTGCAACCGGGTGTCGAACCCATAGCACGGCAGAGGTTTCAGATGGGCCGCGAGCCTCACCAAGCAGTCTAGTGACTGACCTCTACTAAGAACTCAGTAAAGTTAGTCATTCGCACGTCTTCTTCTACTCTATTGGCGTAAGCACCGCTTACCCGATGATAGCCGAATCAATAATTTCCATTTTGGGTTGCTCTCCACCTGATCCTTTGATTGGAATGGAGGTCTGCCTTTTCCTCTGCTTCCACCAATGGGTACTGCATCGACTACATTCAAAATGGGGGTGCTTTCACCCATTCGGACGACAGAACCTAGCCCACAACATTGGCTGCCCTGAACTTTGTCAATGTCGTCGTATATCCCGTACAGCTCATCGTTCCATCGGCTGTGGACAGTTGTGCTCGAGAAGCTGCCATTTCAGAAATATTCATCGTATTGCAAAATCCCTTTACAACACTCATACTCTACACGTAAGGCTTTCATTTTTTGCCTAAAAAAATTGGTTTTTTGATCCAAAATCAGAGAAGGGTTCACTTAAATTTTTGGATATGTATATATGAGTATATGTGTGTAGATATTTGTACGAATATATGTAAGTAACTAAATGTCGATAAAAAATTATCAAATTCTCTGGTCACATTTCAACAAACTTTGTGCTTTCCATGGAAATATGCCAGCGATGCAGCGCTGTAGTAGCCAAATCATACCTACATACATACATATGTCACTATGTATTTACATACATATTTATACAATATTTATACAGATGCCGTGTCGGTGATATAATAACGCATATGCATGCTTACATACACACATATATTATATATTAAAGCACAAATGAACTCATTTACCCGTAAATTCGTGAATTAATTTCTCATTCTTCCAATGCAGCCCTAAAAATGATAAATATTCTTAACGCACGTTCATTAAATAAATACTCACATTCATTACATGTTTTTACTGCTTGAGTGCATATACATACATATTATATCTGTACATATGTATGTACATAATTTCGGTGTAAATGATATGCTGTTGTATCGATAAGCCGTGAAAATGCATAAATAAATTTGTTTAATTTTTTTTTTTTTTTTAGTTTAAATATAAATAAAGAAAGTGTGTAGATAGGCTAATATGTGTATATGTATGTACATAAAATAAATATAAATAATATGTATGCTCTAAAATAAATTGGAAAAGGGGTAGGGTCTTACTTTTACTGGGAAATTGAATAGTTTAGGTGTCATAAAAGTAAATAATTTGTTTTTTTTTTTTTAAGTGTAAATGAAGAATGGGTAATACATCAGAAGACTTGACATTTCCATAAGAATTTCCAAATATTTATTTTTCAAAATAACTGCTGTATACAGGAAATATGACACATATGTACATACGTGTACGTATGTATGAAGTTAACCGCACCTTTTGAGCAAATATTCTTCAGTAAATTTCAGTAAAGCGAAAAACTAGATAATAAATTTAATTTTTTCATAAAAAGTTGTTGTACTTCAGAGTTTGAAAATATACACAGACGGTTCAAAGCTTGAGTGTCTTCTCGTGGAGCCCTCCTCAGGAACTCTCTATCAGGCTACCTGAACATTGCAGTGTCTTCCAGGCGGAAATATCTGCTAAGAATATATTTAATTACAGCAACAGTCAGGCCGAAATAAATGCAGCACTGGGCTTGCTTACACTAAATTCCAAATAAGTGCTAGGCTATCGCCGATCTCTACGGGAGATGGCCTAACAGAAAAGACGTCTCTCGCGTGGGTGCCTAGTCACCGGGACATAACTTAAGCTGTAAGACGGCTGAGCTTCCTAGGCCTCAAGAGAAGATATATCATCCACCTTATAAAGGGTGATTTTTTAAGAGCTATAGGAAAGTTTTCAAAGACTCAAATGGTCCATCCGCTTAGTCTAATTTTGGCATACGAGTACTCTTTCCAACATTTCGGCTGGTATCTAACGAATAAATGCTACAAATAATTCAATAATTTGGAAGCGTTTTTCGTTCGTAAGACTATTCATGGTTAAATTATAGACCAAACTGAAGATGTTTGACAGTGATACAAAATACGAAACATGCGTCAGCTGTTCAACACTGGTTTGAGAAAAATATGATAGCTAAAAAATCACCCTTTACTAATAAATATAAATAACGCATTGACATTCCTTTGCCCAGAGCTTCTTAAGGAATTTACATATGAACAAACCGCGTCAAAGCGGAATGAAACTATGACCTGCCGCAAATCCAAGGACAACCGGCCGAAATGGAATAAAAATAAATCAGTAGTTCTGTACATCTTTAAGAAGAGGGACATGTCCAGAGTAATAAAGTCTGACAAGCCACTGTCTGATAGGATGACACGCGGAAAGATTCAGAGCGCCCTAAAGAATATGTTGCAGTAACTGTAATGATGATGAAGAGAAGGAAAGGATCACCCATCTCTTATGCGACTATCCTGCTTGGAGCTTTTGAGCTAGGTTACGGAATTTTGGGACCCTACTGCTGCATAGTCTATCGAAGATTGCCGGCGGCAAAGTCATTATCTTAATGAGTTTCATTAGAGAATCGAAACAGTTGGATAATGAAGCCTGATGATTAAATTTTTGTGGCATCCCAATGGGTCTTAGTTAGGCCTAAGTGAAATCGATGCGACAGATCATCAGTAGCCAACACAACCTAACGTAACCTTAGAGAGACTTTGTAATAGCTATTACGAACGTAAAGTGATATTCTTCACGAATTTTTTCATCGTTTTTGAATTTAAAAATTCCAAAATATAAACTAAATATTGAAATTTATAATTTAAAAATAGGAAATACGTCTTAGTTGAGAGAAATGCTTTTAGAGCACTTTTAAACACCAGAAATTCCAAGTCGGGAAGCTGCTGGCAGCTACCATTGTGACAAAAGGATAGAGTAAAGAACTCGAGTCAGGCAGACAAAGATTTGCAACCCTTTATAAATTGTTTTAATAAGAACGATACAGTTAGGACAACAGTTTTTTGCACGCAATCGGAGTTAAGAAAAACATTCCAACCGAGGCACACCAATACAGTATCTCTATCCATGCCAAAGTCTGCTATGTATATATTTGTTTGCAAGGCTCCACAAATCTCTAAAAGTTACACCGACCGATCGTCTTGAAATTGTATCCGATTGTTTCTATAATTCTTAAAAAGGCTTGTCCGCAGGGGACCAGGACCGGTTCTAGGTGTAACAAGAGCTCAGGAACCAACATCCAAAAGTGATAGAAAATTAATTTAAATAAAAAGTTTAGTTTAATTTTTTAATTGCGGTTGCCCGTCGACAGGGAATGTCCACCCCCGCTGAGTGCATTTCAGACATGCCTTAAAGGCTACTTGTAAAAAAAAACCACCATCTGTTCGGTGGCGGCTTAGTATAAACTGTAGGTCCCTCCATTTGCTGGAAAAAAAAAGAAAAATCAAGACGCAAGACAACAAATTGGAGAAGGAGTTCGGCCGAAAATCGCTTTAACGG